ATCTCCGATGCCTAGCTCAGGGTATGGGTCAACGCTGTTCGGAGCTACGGCCGCATGTTCAGACGAGTCGAACCTCTCTGGGACGAACGAATCCCGGTCATCTGGGAAGGGTTCATCCTCGGCGTCCTCAATGTGGTCCATGACAGGAGGTGCCGCGCAACACATGCAGTTTGCGCATGCCCTCCCAGCCGGAATGGTGTTCGCCGCTCAAGGAGTTGTCGCCCAACCTGAAGGTAGCCTGGGTGTTTAAGTAACTGAGGCTGTCCTCCCGGTGTCACCGATGCCAGCCAACCCTGACGATGTCGTTATGTCGGAGTCGGGGCGGGCCATCATTCGGAGTGACAACAGATCGAGGACATCGCGGAAGTACCCTCACAGACGAAGGTCGAGCCCGACCGATGATTCTCCGAGTGAGTCAGAGTCCAGCGACGATGCTCGGAAGCGCAGGCATTCGAGACATTCAAGGCGTTCATCCAGACGGTCGCCAAGTCGGTCAACCAAGTCAGAAATGACAAGCCAAGGAAGGTCGCATTATTCGGCGACGTCAGGGGTGTCACAGGTTGCCTTGAATGCCATGAGATCGACACAAGACATGTTGGCCCGGATGGAGTCGAAGCAAGACACCACTCAAGCCCAGCTCAATCAGCGTGTTGATCAAGCTTTCCAGGCGATCCAGATGCTGGCACCTGGGGTCGTCAAGAGTGTGACTGTTCCGAATGTCGAAGCGTCAACCGCACCAGTTCAGGCGTCGACCGGACCCGCCGAGGCTGTGTCGAACGAGGCCACAAGTCATGAAGTCGCCCGCGCGCTGAAGGCCGCGGAAACCCAGTTCGATGTGCGCTGGCAGCGACGCGAAGCGGAGACCGAGAAGGCGAAAGAGTCCTGGGAAACCAACCTGCAGAAGAGCCTGAATGACCAGTGGGAATCCGTGATGAGCGCTCAGATGCAACGCCTGCAAGAGGAGATTGCCTCCTTGAAAGAGGCGCGCAATCAGGATCAGAAGGCTAATCGAAGGTCGAAGAACGTTCGCGGAACAAGTTCGAGCAACACTCGTGCGACATCGACTGAAGTTCATGGTGACCGTTCGACAACGCACCCACGATCCAGTAACGCTATCAAGGATGACGCGGTACCTAGCCAGGTCACATCTGGCGACAGTGTCTTTGCGGCTCAGCTCCAACTGACTCTCCCGAGTCTGACTGAAACGAAGTATGAGAAGGGAGATGTCCGACCGAAAGAGGAACAAGGATCCAGGATCGCAAAGACGAGCGGCTCCCGAGTGAAGTCACGACAGATGGAAGCAAAATCAACGAGAGCTGCAAGGTCGGAAGACAAGGAGCCGCCTAAGAAGGAACTACGCAAGGAGCCTTCACGCCAGGATGAAGATCCCTCAGAACCCAGCTCGAGTGGCGAGTCTAGCGAGGAGGACGATAGCTCAAGTGACTCCGACAGTTCGTCAGACGGCATGCAACCCTACACGATCATGGTAATCAACGCTAAGGGTGGGAATATGCTTAGGACGTTTACCCATACCCTAGACGACTTCGATGAGAAGCGGTCCTTGACGGCACGTCGCCGATGGTGGGAGAAATTTTTGAAAATGGCCATCCAGGCTGGTTGGACAGAGCAGATGAAGATAATCGAATTCAAGACGAAGACGTCGCCTGTCGCCCGAAACTGGATGTTCCAGCTAGTGTGCGCACGAATTGGGGACGCCTGGCTCGGGACTTCAAGCGTGAATATTGCAAGTCCCGGGTGTCTGATTCTGAGAAGTACTACACGATGAAGCAGTACAAGGATGAAACAGCTCTGGCGTTCCTGTACCACCTGAACCTGGTTGCTGAGCGAGCGGATGTGAAGTTCAGGAAGTCCGAACGCCGACGCGAGCAACACATCAAGAGGTTCATCAAGAACCTGACGAACATGTCGCTCAGGTCAACAATGCAAAGCCAGAGGTTCTACAAGGTGTCTGACCTGGAGTACGTTCTGAAGCATCAGGAAGCGGTGAATGCGAGTGGAGGCTATTCCACCCGGTCGCCTCCCAATCGTGACTTCAGAGCGGACAACGTCGCCCGAGGTGGGATGCGACAGCGGAACTCGAACCGAGCTTATGTGGCTCAGGATGATGAAGGTGCGGATGTCGAGCAGTCAGCCAGATTGAACAAGATGTGTTGAAAACGATGCTGCTTTCCAAGAACTGTCCACCACGATTCAGGATGTCCAGATTTTGGACAACCCGAATGGAACGTTCCTGAGCAGGGAAGAGCCAATTCACGAGGTATACCGCATCATGAAGAACGTGGGATGGAAGCCAGCGAACCCGAATGCCGGAAGTTGTCCAAATGGTAATTCAAGATCACCGATGCGCCGCCTGCGCAGCCAGCTGGGTTTCAGGGACACCGGTCCTACAACAACCCGGATCGATTGGAGTTTTGTGAGAAATACAAGAAGTTTGGACATCGCCCGGATAAGTGCTGGACTGACATGGTATGTGGACAATGCCACCGACGTGGACACCCAACTCGAAGTTATATGACCAAGTCGTGCCCGAAGTGTGCAGAATATCACGATGTACATTGCGAAGAGTGGAAAGCTTTCCAAGAGATCAAGAAACTC